TCTGGTACAGCTGAGATGGTGATTCTGATGGGGTGTGGGTGGAGTTCACGGCTTCATGGAGAGGAGCACCTAAGTGAGTGACTGTCACTCGCAATTCCAACTCTCCCTACCACCCACCCCTCTCCTCCTCTCAACTAAGCTGCGGGTGGCCTGTAATTAAATCACCACAGACCCAGGAGAGGCTCCGTATTTAAGAGAAAACTCCATGTGCATCTTCTACGGAGCTACATGTAGAATTCAGAAAGAAATAACAAGGTTTCTGAACTCATTCTCTTAGCAAAATAGTCTTCTTGTGTAAATAATAAATCTGAAGTTAATCTGTTTAGTAACTTATTTTCAAAGTCTGTTTCTTTGTTTTAAGTGGAGGAGAACTCACAGTCCCAAGGCAGTGTCATCTTGTGCTTTTCTCTATGGCCTCATCTTGATGCTCTAAAGGGTAGCAAGTCTGTCCAGCCTCCTGAGACAGGGCTCCACATATGGTACTTCCAATGGTTCTGGCCACACGCACGGGCCATTCGGTTTTTACAGCTTTAAGGTCACAGCTGAGAATACTCATCAGGCTACAGCAAACACACCTATTAACTATATTATAAATAGACTGTCAGGAAGCAACAGACACAGCAACAGAAAAAAGCAGAGATAGGTTGGCCAATCAGTGTCCTAAATCTGTACACTTCAAGCGTATACTTCTATTTTTTTCCCTCCCATAGTACTTTGATGCTAACTTCCGTAATGAAGGCAAGACTTATTCTCCTGCTGAATGTATTCTCCCCTGTGTCAGCATTCATACGAATAAGAGGTTTGATGTTTATTCTGGAAAAAAGAGGCTCAATTGGTACAATCTGTAAGCTTCCGGAAGTTCTTCACCATAAATCAAACCTTTGAACCATTCTGGCATATGGGGAAGTGCATGCATTTCATTGACCTGAGAGGAAGAACAAGCTCAAGTTTAACTAATCCATTCTGTGTAGAATCATGTCAAGTAATCCAACTGTTGATCCTGAGCAGTCAAGAGGAAAGACTTGTTTAATCAGAAACAAAAGCAGCACAAGAAAGTGCGTGATTTGGTGTGCTTTAAGATGTCTCCAAAGGCTGCAAATTGAACTCTGTCTAGAAGGGCATGTTTGGGCAGCTTTTCCTCAAAGCATTTTTCCCCCTTAAAAAAAAAGCTTGTTGATAAGAGAGGAACCCAAGTTTCTAGAGCTATTTTTGCCTTAGTCTACATGCTTCTCAATCTTTCTAACCATCTTACCCCTTTCTGTAAAATAACATAGGTAGATAAGATGCTATGTTTACAAAGACATAGACAAGATGTACACGTGAACGAAGATACAGGCTGCTTTTTGTGGTCTTTTTTTTTTGCCCTTTGTGGGTGTGGTACTCTTTGACACTTCCATGTACTCTGTATATTCCTCTGTAAAATCACTTATCATACACTGTGAAATGATTTTTCTCTACGAGACCAAAAGTGCATGATCAGGGATGGTTTCTGCCCTTTTTACTTTCCTGTTGCCTATCAGAGCAGCAGTGCTGTAATCCTTTGGTGGATCAGTGAATGAATAAGTGAAAAAACATTCCCTAAACTGCCACTGACTCTCATCTTATGTGTATTAGAAACTGAATTTCTGACCTAGCTTTTGCTCCTTTTTCCTTCAACTTAAGCTTAAAGATTCAGTGCTCCAGTGCCTTAGGCAAAAGTGCTTGAAAATCATCAATTTTATCCTTAGAATATTTAAAGAATTTTAGAATATAGTAAAATAATGGGAAATCATCAGAATATGTGAATGGCATTGTATAGGTCACAGAGAATGTATGTTTTCCCAAAGATAGAAATACTAAATCTAGATATCTCTGAAATAGGTAAACTTTTAGGTCCCTTCCAACCTCAATAATTCTCTGAACAAGGAAATATAAATAAGGCACAGCAGTTCCTTTTAAAAATATAACTCTCCAGCTTCCAAAATGCTCCTTTTCCATGATGCACAGGCCAATCTGAAGTGAATTTCATGTCAAAGTTGAGATCATAGATTGTGTCATCTTAACTTTATTACCTTTCCTCTTTTACGTGCCATATTGATTTGAACCATAAAGGGAGGTTAAAATGTGTAATTAACATCATTATGCCTCTTCCAAATCTTACAGTTTTATAGCTTTTTCTTTCAAAAGAAGTCATAAAACTCAGAGGTATAAGGCCTCTCAGAGGCCAATTAGTACAACTTCCGTTGACTGTTTGAATCGTCATGAGAACTCTGTCGAGTGAGCGGCTATGCATCTAGCTTGAGCACCTCCAGGTCTAGGAAATCACGATCTCCCAGACAATCCTTGGGTCTCAGCATAGAGGTCCTGTTACAAGGCATCAAAGATATACCTTCCAGGAACGCTCACTGATTTGTCCTAATTTGGCTCTTGGGACAATACAGGCTAAAGTAGAATCCCTCTTCCAAACAAACACACATACAAACAAGCTTTGAAGACTTAAAAGAAAGCCCACTTGTCCACTCTGATTCTTTCCATCTGTCCTTTAGGCTAACATTCCAAGTTCCATGCATTCCCTCAAGTAGTGTCATTTTGAGTCACTGACTCCCCTGGCCATTCTTCTCTGAATACATTCCAAAATGTCCATCAAATTTCTTTCAATATTTGTAACCTCCACTGAACACAGTTATTTGCAGTATAATCTGACCATCCTGAAGTAGAAGAAAATGATGATCTCCCTCATCCCATTAATACAGCTTCTGGTTTACATGTTACCTTTTGGAGAGCCATTCGAATTGTTTACTGTTGGCTATTTAAATACATATTGTTACTAAGCCAACAGCCCTCTGATGCTCTAACGTACACTTGATTTTAGAACCATACCAAACTTTACATTTATTTCTATTAAACATCCTTTTTCACCTCTCTTTATCCTTTAACGTTTTTCTTTGGCTGAAACTTCAAAAAATTCAACCATGTGCTATCTTCACATGGGATAGAAGTAACTTTTACTACCTTCATTTGTATCATTGACCAAAAACATTAACAGACCCCAGGATTATGAAGGGTACAGGGCATGCCACAAAAACCTTCTTTTGATTGACATCAATCTCTCTTCGGGGTCAATAATTCAACCAAGGTCTAATCTATCACACAGTACTTGCATCCAGATCACATTTCTCTACCTTTTCTACAAGGGAAAATGAGAAACCTTCTGAAAAGTTTCCACATGCTAAAACCAAAATAATGTTCTGCCAAAAAACAAGACAGAGAAAAATTTTTTGTTCTTCAATACATTTTGAAGAATGTATTGCTCAACCTGTGCATACTGGGCTAAATAGTGCCCCCTCCCCTGCAATTCGCATCCCCTCAGAAGCTGGAATGTGAGAATCTTTGCACATGAAATTAGGTTGAGATGAGGTCATGCTGGGCTCTGTGCAATGACTAGCACCCTTATGAGGAAACCGAGATTTAGATGCAGATACAGACAGAGGGAAGGCGGCTATGTGAACATGAAGACAGAGAATGAAATGACGCTGCCATGAGTCATGTACCACTGGCAACCACCAAAAGCTAGGAGAGGTAAAGAAGGTTTATTCTTCAAAGCCTTCAAAGGGAACACAGCCAGGATGACCCTGGATTTAGACTCCTAGCCTCCAGAACCGTGAGAAAATACATTTCCATTCTTTCAAGCCACACAGTGTGTGTGTGATTCATTATAGTAAGTCTTGGAGATGAATGCATCATGTATCATATGGAGAAATGTATGGACTGGGCATCAGATGGAGAATGTTCACCTTCTCCCTCCTCCCTGCCCAAATCCTATGGGCATGCCAAGTGGGTCCCCTGCCTCAGTCTACTTCTAGTCTACTTTCATCTCTTCCCTCTTGCCACTGCTCAGTCATTAAAATAAGAACCACACAACTTAGCACCAAGTAATATACTCATTGTCATGTTTTACAATTATTTCTTGACTGGTATTCTTATAACTCCAATTAAATTATAGTCTTACTGAAGGCAGGGATAATATTCTGTTTTTGTGTAACCCTTATAACACCAAACCCCAACTATGCCTAGTGTTGGTATACACAACACCATATGCACACACACACACACACACACACACAATATTCCAATAATTATTAGAAGAGCAAGCCTGGAAAAGCAAATAATTCAGTTAGAACTAAGTTGGAATAGCTTATCCTGGTAAACAGCATGAGCAAGATACTATTGCACTTTAAAGAACATGCTGTAACATGTTAATAAAGAGAAAATATGAAGTAAAGATATACTTTAAGGAATTTTCACTAAATTTTAAAAATTAACCCCTCCACTTACTGGAGAGAACATATTATGTAGTATATTTTTTCATTTTTCCTCTTTCCTGGTCTTTTCCATTGTCCTAGTGGTAAATGCTTTTTTAACTCATGGTACACAAACGCTCTATCATAGAATTGATCTGCAACATGACTATGCTTCTTGCAGCTTGTTCAGTGTCATGGGAGCCACTCTATAAGCAAGTGAGAGATCTTGCAATCTGTTGAGTGCAGTCAGCAATGCTTAAGTGCGATCCAGAAGCCACCCTTGACTCTGACGTTGTGGTCATGGAACTTACTGCTTCCTTTGCAGGAGCAGCACTTGTTAAATGCAATGCAAGTTCCCTGGGAACCAGTTCGCACCTCACCTCTCTCCACGTTTCACATTGCAAAGAAACTGAAGGCCCACATGTCAATGAACTGAGCGGGGATCTATTCATGTGCAGATATCAGAAAGCTTATACGCCAGTGGCTCATGAGTCTCCTTTCCAGTAATCAACTTCATCAGTGAAAGCCAAGTCGTTTTCTGCTGAAAAAGGAGTTGTGAGGTCTTGCCTGTCTCCTAATGGATATTTTCCCTGGAATGCCACCCACGGCCATGTAACAATTGCACAAAGGCACAGCACCATTTTTTTCTGCCAAGTTAACAGAACTACTTTGCTAAGAATACACTGATTTCTGAGCTAAACCTTCCCTTTCCATAGCAACACAGAGAGAGTGACAATGACAGTCACTGATGACCTGCATCCCTCGTGCTGACTGATGCCAGGTAACCCCACAATCCCAGAGACCCGGACCTGAAAATGAATTACAAAGCCTCACGTCTTCTGAGCAAAAGTACCTGTATGGGTTTGCCAATTCACACTAATAGGTACCACCAAGGACAAGTCTCTTCAGCAGAAAAGGAGTGATGGGAGCTACAAACATGTCCCTTCTAAAACAGAATTATAGGTGGTCTTCCCTCACACAGAATTATACACACACACTGAGTGACGGGGGCTAGGGGTGCCCTGAACAAGCCAATTTACAGAAGAAACTTCACAGAAAAGAAAGGATCCCATTTAGCCTTCCGTAGGACAGGTGATCTGGCCAATGAGTTCCCTGAAATAGCTCCTCCACTCACTCCACTGCATTCATATTGCAATTCTCCAAGATGGAGAAGAAAACAGCCAGCAGGCCAAAAATAATAATGCTTGGCTGAAAAACAACACCAGGTCAAATGCAACCCCCTCTCCTTGAGAGAACTGTTTCCCATTTATGCAAGTTCAGGGCCCACTGAAGGGCATCCCTGTTCCCAGGACAAGGGAACATTTGAAGAAGCAAAGCGTGAAATGCAGCCCACTGGGAGAGACTCCGAGAAAGGGAAAAACAGCCCGGAGCTCTGTAGCATCCCTGAGAGGGAGAATATGACATTGGGGGAAGCCCTGATTAAAAGGAATATGTGCCCAAAAAGGAAACCCACTGATGGCGAATAATCCATGTGCTATAAATTGAGATCTATGGCTGATAATATAAGATAGGGCACTGTCACCGAACCTCACTGGGAAACATAATTCACAATCATGCATCGGAGCAGCACACAGGTGGGGAGGAGGAGGTCGGGGGCAGCTGCTATGTTCCCTGCTAGATACAATCCCCCTGAACGGCCCCTGCTCAACGATTTCTAAAACGTAAAATATTGACATGAAAGAAAGGCTATCAGAGAAAGTGGTGTGAAATGTATCTGTCAATTCATTCAGGACAAGACTGAAGGGTCAGGAGTTAGACTGTGAAACATGCAAGAAAAGTATGTCATCAAAGTGGGGCACATTTTTCCACACCCTGGTCGTGCAGTCTCAGCCCAAAACCCAGCTTGTACAAAAGCCCAGGGTGTCACCTTCCATCTGCTGCCATTCTCTGGCATGAGAAATCGCTGCTTTTCAACTTACTGCAATTTAGTACGATATATTTCTTCACATGCCTAGATACTGCACTCCCTAAGGGATCCTCTCCTCTTCATGTTTTCCCTCCTGTTCCTAGCATTGCTTCATAAATAAAGTCACCGTTAAAGAAGAGAATTTACACTCCAAGCAGGAGGGATTTAAAAATTCCCAAATAAATTATCCAGTCAGATATCAAATAATAGCTTTAATTTTATAGGAAAAAATAGAACTTGAAGTATTTTATTATTTTCACCACCTAACTCTAAAGGCAGAACAGCAGTCAGCAAAGTTAAACAAGGTAGGATGATTCGCCCTAGTCATCAGATCACCTCAATCTGAACACACGATGGCAGGCAGAACCTCCTACAAGCAAAGATTATCAAAAGGAACTTATTATCTATTTCAAGACATTTATAGAACCGCAGGATAAAGAACCCTGGAAGCCCCCATTTCCTTAAACCAACCAAGAGTTTTAGACAGAATAGCAATCATCTCAGCAGAAATTCTTGCCTACTCCAAAGAATCTGAAGAAAATATCCTTTACAGCATTGATGAGGTAATTGCATTTATGATAACATTTCCTAAGACATTAGTAATAGATATGGACAAATTCTTATAAGCAAATATGTACACTGTAACTTATGAGAGAGAGAGAAAGGAAAGAAAGAGGGAGGAAGGAAGGGAGGAAGGAAGGAATGAAGGAAGGAAGGAAGAAAGGAAGGAAGAAAGAAAGAAAGGAAGGAAGGAAGAAAGAAAGGAAGGAAGGAAACTCAGTTAAAAATTGACAGGATAAGACCTATTCATTTAATGGAATATAATGTAGCCAGTAAAAGTAATGTTTATTCAAATTTTATAATTCCATTGGAAAACATGGATAATACTGTTCATGAAAACAGAAAAATGAAAGATAATGTACCCAGTGTGATCTCTGATAAATGAATGGATGGACAGACGATCAGATGGACGGTCAGAAGGAATGAAGGAAGGCGGCAGGGCAAGTGGCCAAAACGTTAGGTGAGTTTTCTTTCTTTGAATTTTCATGGCTATATTTATAATAAACAAGTATTATTTTCATAATCAGAAACATATAAAAATGAATTACAAAGATAAAGTTGAAAATACCATATGATCTCACTTATATGTAGAATCTGAAAAAATAAAATAAACAGAAAAACTCAAACTCACAGATACAGAGAACAGACTAACAGATAGTGATTGCCAGAGGTGGGGAGGGGTGATGGGAAAAATGAGTGAAGGGGGTCAAAAGGTAAAACCTTTCAGTTATAAAATACACGTCTTGGGATTTAATATACAGCATGGTGACTGTAGCTAATAGCACAGTATTGCATATATGAAAGTTGCTAGGGGAGGAAATCTTAAAAGTTCTCATCACAAGAAAAAAATTTTGTAACTATAAATAGTAATGGATGTTAACTAGATTTCTTGTGGTGATCATTTCACAGTAGATACAAACATCAAATCACTATGTTGTACACCTGAAACTAACATAACATACGTCAATGAAAAAAAGTTGAAAATAAGGATGTGACATAGGAGAAAGTCGGGTTTGAAGAACTATCTTTAATCACTTTCAAACCTGTTATTTCTATATAAGAGTTTGTCACGTATTTCTAATTTAATAATTACCTTGAACACAGCAATATTTGCTATTAATTAAATTACTGTGATGTCAGTCAGCAGTTGCAAATCAGTAAAAGGGAGAGTATATGTTCATTTTCAATAGTATGAATAGAAGCTAAGAAACTAGGCACTTATGGCTAGGAAATTAAGAAATTAAGCTAATATTGTTCAAAATTCTTCTTTAAACAGCATTAAAAAAGAGAATTTGGCTTTCGAGGGGCAGGTTACACAAGCTGGACAACACAACTGCAGTGGAATCAGCCACCTCTGTGTGTGATTACCACACATAAAAAGCATTGCTGACTTATTTTGAATTCAGTGACTTACACAGAAATTGTTTGCTAAAGAATTATACTTCAACACACTAAAGGTATCGATAAATATTGTGCTTATTACCTGAATCAGGTTATTACGGACAAGAAAATGGAGAAACACCTTAGAAATCTGTATCAGTGTTCTGCGTTCCTTTGAGGTGGGCATATCTTTAATACTCATATCAAACCATGGAATATTTATCAAACAGTCATTTGTATCAGTGTTGGCTGTCAATATTCTAGATCAAACAACATACTTGTAAACTTAAGGCCTTCTCTGCTCAAGGAAAGAGTCTGTGCAGTATTTCAGATCTCAGCTTCTGTAGGAATTAAAGTGCTTTTGACGTGGCTAAGAGTTTCAAAATAATCACACCTGTCATACCAAGGAAGCCCAGTTAAGGATAAACAGTTCTACATTCTACAGATGGTTCAAAATTTCAAGGCTGTCTAGATAAACAGGTGGGGCGGCCCTACCTCCTCTCAGGGATTTTCTGCTTTTCTCTAACTTTCTTTTAATAGGTTGAAATATTTTACCCAGAGTTTTCAAGACTATTTGCACACCCCAGGATAACTCTTTCGCTTCTGGTAATCAATCCAAAATGGAAACAACTGGGACATTATCCATCACATAGAGAAAACATCTGGACAGATGGTCTCATATTTTTATCTAAAGTGTGTGAATTGAGCAAATAGGCGACATGATACTCAGCGTTGGTGTATTATTTTCAGCTTGAGTGGAAATATTTTTAAAACATAGCCAATTGCTTGATTCCTTCAGATTGTAAAGGCAATCAAGTTTCCACTTGAAACTGATAGAAAGACCAAACAGTAATTTTCAAAAGAGCCCGGAGTTCAAAGAGAAAGGTGTTAGGTAATTTTCTCTGAGAAATATGACTAATAAGATATTTGTGTCCATTAAATATGACTAATAAGATATTTGCATCCACTGATTGCACTGGGTCCAGGGACAGACTATACTTAGCTCAACCAGAGGCGGTACTGAGGCCATGAAAACAGTCCCAGGTCCACAGACTCACTGCACTCTCAAACGTATAACAGTAGTTATCTGACAATCAAGACATTTTGCAGATCAAATTTACCCAACTCTGTATCTCAGTTTTCAAAATGTACTTTACAATGATTTGTCAGAGTCTTTGTTAAAATATTGGATGAAATATAGCTTTCTACTAGCCACAAAATTTTAATCAAACCTATGTTTGTTCCAAGTAATACCAAAAAGAACCGGGTATTCTTTATAAAGGTAGTCCAAAAACAAAGGCTCCACAATTTTTCTTGGTATGATTATAATCTCTTAAAGTCTTCACAGTTAAGATACTTTTTGTAAAACCTAAAATGCCCCATGTATATACAGTTCATGTCCATCTCATCCCTCTTTAAATTCAAGTTCAGTTGTTTGATATGCCTTTATGAATATTGGAATTAGGGCTTCTCCCCTTTCTAGGTTTTATTATAGACAAGTGGCTTTAGTCCTTTGGGAGGACAGATATCCTAATGTCCGCATTATTACTCCAAATTCACTATCCCACACTTTTACCACTGGGCCCTACATATCAAATCCATTGCTCAGGAAGTTCTACTCAATGGAATAATTACAACTACTATATGATTATCATTTTCCATTTGGTCTAATTTTCAATCTGTTTCTCCTCTTATTTCTTCTATCTTGAATTTTTCTGCTTGCTCAAAATTCTGATCAGAAGCTAAGTTACCTCCATATTCCAATGCTCTTTTCACCACTTTTACCCACACCCCAGACAATAGGAAATGGGGACATAAAGGATTATGAATGAAAAAGTCCTTGCACTTTGAGAAAACAAGCCGATTTTTTTCCTTGTAGAAAAACAGAACATAAGCCTCTTTTTAGAGCTTGACAATCAAATAGCTACCAAGGAAAAACCTCACAGCATTAAGTCTCACATCAGTCAGGGTTAGATGTAAATAAATCCCCTGCTTAAAAAGCATAATGGCCAAAACACACCGTAACTTTTATTCACAACCACAGTAGCTGAGAAGAAACTGAAATTCACTACATCAAACAATATCAAAATGAATAAAAATCTGGGCTCTGCATCTATGGAGTGACGGTGTGTCATATCTTGTTTCATTCTCTGAACTTTTATTGTTTTATGAGCAATGAAATTATCACTTTGTGATCCCAGGTAAGGAGCCACATGAGCAAAAATTAAGGCTAGAACCTGAAGCAGAGACTGGAGTTTCCTGGAAAATCTTCCTAACTCCTTGTATGTTTCACTAACAAAGCTTCAATATTACAAGGGTAGCACTGTACCCAACTGAAAAAGAACATTCCTGAGGCTCACTTGAGGAATGGGTAACAACTGAACTGTAAGCTGAAGGCACTGTCGTTGTGCAAGGACTTCCAGGAAACCTATTCAAAGGTGTCTGAGTTGGCAGGTGCCCTTTCGCC